AATAGGTAGTTATCTACCAAGTTTCATCTTTCCACCCCACTTAATACGCCAGAACAAAAAAGTACTTGAAAACGTCGGCTCACAAATATATTTCCCCAGGGCATGGATCTAAAATTTTTTATTTTTCCTAAACTCATCGTCTCATTAGGCACCTCCATGCCAAAATTTCAGCTTTCCATGACTCTCCGTTTTACTCAACCAAAAATAATGTTATGGTGGGGGGAATGAGTAACGGGACATGGAAGGCAATAAAAGCCAAAAGGAAGCCAAGGAATGACCAGGAATTGAACCCGGACCTTTTGCTTGGCAGTTAGAGATGCTACTACTCCACCACCGATCCTTGCACAGCCTATTGACTTTCTGAATGCCATCTTCATCTGTCACAAAATATATTGAAGAAAAACGTTTCCCCCCAAAATGTGTACCCCCAGGGCATGTACCTCCCAAGTCGGATTTTTTNATCTGTCACAAAATATATTGAAGAAAAACGTTTCCCCCCAAAATGTGTACCCCCAGGGCATGTACCTCCAAAGTCGGATTTTTTCTGAACTCTGCATCCCAAAAGGTACATGTGTACCAAGTTTCAGATTTCTAACCCTTCTAGAACATGGTTAGAATTAGCGTCAGTCAGTCAGTCAGTCACGATCGTCCATACGAGGTATGCGTATTAGATGAAAGTAGAATTGTTTCTTTAGTCATCTATTCATCAGATACTTCTTTGCCAAGTTTAAACTTTCTAGCACACTCCGTTTTGCTGGATCAGAAAATTCAGGAAAAAAATGCAAAATAGGGCGTTTAGGGGCGTTTTAACCGAGAAGTACCATTTTTACCGAAATCAAACCTCAGTGAACTACATGCCCACCAAGTGTCAATCTGATACGTTTGCCCTTTTCCCTGGTGAAAAATCATGTTTGGAAAAGCCGACCGACCCGAAACTATGCCCGGAGGGGATGCACCATGAAAGCTGAATATTCCCTCAACTCAATAATATCACGTCACTTATACAGTACATGTGCCAAGTTTCACCATTCCGTTCATGTCCAAATCGCTATGACAATTTTTTTTTTTCAAACATCACCCCTCGAGAAATTTTCCCATCAGGAATGTATCAGATATCAAGACTTAGCATTTTTCTTTAACTCCTTATCTTGGTTGTCACATTTATGCAAAGTTCCAGCTTTCCATGTCCATCGGTTTAACTAATGCAAAAAAAATATGAGAAAATATCTACCTTTGAAATTTATGCCCCCAGGGCATTTCATTCCAAAGTCTGAATTTTTCTGCAGGCAGCATCCCAGTAGGTAATTATGTACCAAGTTTCATCTTTCCACACTAGCTCAATACGCCAGAACAAAAAGATTTCTAACCTTTCTGGAACATTCACTTGCAAGTACCAGATTTGGACTTACGATCGGTTCCGCGTCAGTTTCGTTTACGAAAACAAAATTAATCGTCTGGGGTCGGACGGGTGGATTTGGAGGTGGAAAGTGTAAGCATTCAAACACGGCAGTCTAGTTCGGCAGTAGAAACCTGGTTATTTGGGCTTGGACGACTGTCAAAGGCGTCGACTGGATGTGTCGCATCGATGGAGGCATGGACGTCCAACTGTACACGATCGTACATAATTATTAATACATTTTCGATACGGTCGATATTTATGAGATTGGACAGTTTGGCTTCATCTTCCAGCAAGACGATGACCCAAAGCACATGTCTGGAAAAGGTGCGCCAATAGTTCCAAGATTACTGGGCGTCGGTGTTGGAATGGCTGAACGCCTTAACCGTTACAAATCCCTATGGTCACTCCTGAACCGATAGCGTTGATCGTACGAAACTGACCGCGAAAACTTCCACTAAATTCGGCAACGAGTAGAAGCCGATAGGCACAACATTCCTAAGGGAATTTGTGCTGATCTGATGTAAAGTACTCCTAATGGAATAAATGCAGTGTTGCAAAGCCAAGGGTGGCTACACTAAATACCTAATGAAGTCCATTTTATCCTATTAAAGTTGCCTTTTTTGCTAATGAGTGCATCACAGCATATGAGTAAAAGCGAACACCTCCAGTCACCATGAGGCGGGCACTGAACAATGTGGAATTAGTTAAATCCATATCAAACAGGAAAATCTTTTCACCCCGCCCCACCCCACTCGGAACGAAAGGCGACAAATTCATGCAACTGACTGGGTTTTTTTTTTTACTAACATGAAAACGCTTCACATGTTCTGTTCTTGCATCTCCAGAACATAATACTCTTCATGAGTACCGAAATGATCCAACCCCGACTTTGGCAACCAATCCTCAGTGACCCAAATGACCTCCTTCCTTAAGTTTCCTCATCTAAACGACGCCATTTTGCTCGGAATCCAGTCCAATCCGGGATGGGATCAACGCAGCTCCAATAGGAATGAAAAGATTCCAGGCCCATCGGTGGACCATTATGAAGAAGAAACAGCTCAAACTAGTATCTTCAGACGTCCGCATTATTTTAAGGGAAACGGTACATTTGATCCCAGTTTTACTGCACGACTAGAAAGTAGGTGCTTATGGGATAGGGGTATTTCATAGGAGGAACAATTTCGGAAAGGAAAACTAATCCGTCCCAAATGATGATTGGTGACTCATACTGGAATGATGATTGTGGCAGTGATATTCACTCAATTGCAGAGCCTATTCCCACCTTGCACTGATGAAGAATACGCCCTCGACTCCAAGGAGATAGGTAGAAGGTCCACAGCCGATGCATTGAGTGATGCGCGTTCAGCCGGTTCGAGTGGGCGTACTTATGGAGTCGTGGACTCGGTAGAATCAGCCTTAAGCTTTTGATGAAGGGCTCGATCCTTCGTTTCATCCTGTACAGGTCGATGGACTCGTTAACGGAAATGAAGGACATTGATGAATTTGACTAACTTTAACATGCAGCAAATTAAAAAATTTTAAATAGGGATATGAAACTTTCATGAAAATTCCTATACGGGGTGACACACAAAAAACGCGTCCTCTTTGGCGCTTCATATGACCTCTTGTTGAAACGATAGAGTCATGCTTTTTGTGCATCAAGAAAGCACCGCAAAATGTATTTCCTGGGAGTTTGATGTGTTGAGTGAATAAAAAACTTCGAGGTGACCTCAGGAAATAATTTCTTTTTCAATATTTTCTCCTTGTTTAAATTTTGTCCTGTCTTGGCCTTGTTCTTGTTTTCTCCTGGAAAAAATCTTGTGAATTTCAGATCCCAAAACAGCCTGACACCTTAATGTTTTCCATTGTAATCTATATATGAACCTATTTCGAAAAATTGGATTTACTTCTTTTCTGTTCTCCATTCATCAACGGATTTTATGCGTGCAGTTTTCTTTTCCAAATTTGGCACATTTTGTTGCAATTTTTCAATATTTTGTTATGCACTTGTGACATACATCAGGAGGAACAGCACCCAAGTTTCCGCAGTCGCCCAAAAGACAACGCCACGAACATTTCTGAAGTTCTGAAATTGAAACGGTACACTGAGTTTCTCGTGAGGAATCGAGAATGATCCTAAGCATTACAACACAGGAGAGTTTCGCGTTTCCCCACTTAATGTTTCTGGGCTTGCGATGAACGGAAAGATTGCGAATGGGCTCCATTGCGGAAGAGGCATTGACTGTGTTTTGTTGTTTCTTCCGCATTTCGGCAGATGTATCTACCATCATTATCGTACGGCATCCTGTCTTCCCAATGGAAAGAAGTCTTCCAGCGCTTATGTCTCAGGTCAGGTGGCAAAATGAAAATGTGGGTAAAAGCGAGGCACCCAATAAAATGTGGTTTATAACAAGAAAACCCGCAGAAGGTGATTCTCCAGTTCTCAAATTTTTTTTTAACTGTGTCCCAACTTCGAACTTCACTGTATGTTGTGGAACATTAAGCGAAAAAAAACTGAAGCTCGGAGGCCCCTCAGCAGGAAGAGGCTTCGTGAATCGTGACTTCTTCCAGCAATTATCACAGCGTTTTGGGACATTTACGGTTATATATCATCCGAAACATTGGAATGGCCACACACGTACGATTGCTGATAGCATCCATGTGTGCTACGTTCTTACATCAGCCGTGCGGTAGACGCGTAAGAATGGGAACTCTGGAAATGCGATGGTGCCTTCTGCAAACTTGCGGAGGAGCGGCCAGCGAACTCCATCCGGTAGTCCTCCAGTCCTTGTCGCATTTTAAAATGCGCATCGTCAACATACTCACCGCGAGGGTCCTGGTCTTTCCAGTAAATCCTCTTAGAAGACCCAGCCCGTCTTTCAAAATCGGCCAAGCTGCAAATCAACTTTGTCTTGTCCTGACCAGTCATGCATACGTTTCCTCTGTCCCATGATGGCCCTTTTTTGTACACCATGTCATGATGACAACATGGGAACTCACTACTGTCGCCTTTTCACATCAACTGTTTCTTTCACAGTCCCTCTGCAATGGATACGTGCATACGTTTCCTCTGTCCCATGATGGCCCTTTTTTGTACACCATGTCATGATGACAACATGGGAACTCACTACTGTCGTCTTTTCACATCAACTGTTTCTTTCACAGTCCCTCTGCAATGGATACGTAAGCTGCTATCCTGTCGGGAAGGTAAAGACATTTCACGTGAAAGGAAATATCGACAACCTCAACTCATTCTCAGTACGTTTGTCTATGAGATCCTATTCATTTGTAGAATACTTCGACATGATTTAGTCTTAATGATCATCACGAACAGATCAACAGCGTGTTAAAGGTTCTAACTCAATCCCTCTAAATACTCTTGAAATAACACAATGTTTATTAAGACGTTCAGCATTGGAAGAGATAAATTGTAACATGGATCAAAAGAACGGTATGAAACCGAAGTCAAATTCTACTTCCTTAGATGGCAACTGGATAAGGAAAATACAGAAAGAACCATAACTTAATGCATATTAGTGTGGGGTGGTACAACTTATAGCACACAATCTCAATTCTCAATTACAAATCCCTCCACGGTTGAATGAGTGTCTCTCGTTTTCGCCGGATTTATCAGCTATATCCTTAATCCGACTTTTATCAAATCTGACTCCTCAAATTATCAAAGATAACTTCCTGTTGTGACGGCTATTTCCTAATACATAAGTACATGCAATCTTTGAATACTTGAAAGAAAATCCTTTCCACCGAGTAGATATGGATCCTGAAGCTTCAGAAACCATAAAACCAGATGGGACCCCTTCTCCCAACCTCTACGAAAGCGACGGCGAGGAACTCCTTTTGTACCATAAAAGCGAGAGCGAATTGGTTCCTCTAATAGAAGGAAGCAATTGGGCGGAAGTTCTCGCTGAAAAATTCAGGGAGCACTCAAAGCGTACATCCAATTTCTACCTGAATTCCATTGTCGTGCTTCTCCAATTTTTCGTCCTTGTGTTCATCTACGTCGGTGAGTCCCAGACTTTCAGCATGATAGATAGCGCAACATATTTCATCAATGCAGTTCAATACGTGTATTCACTATATGAAAAATGTCACGTACAGTTTGGTTGGTCTTTTTGGGAGCTTAGTAAAAGTGCATGCCTAGTCACCATGAGATGGATACAGAAACATGAAGAGCTACTCTCTCTCTCAAACAGGAAATCTTTCATCTCCCGCCCCACCCTTGAAATAAAAGCCAAAAAAGGTATTCAACTGAAGGCAGTTTTTTCTTAAGAGAAAAACACCTGAAAGGTGTTCATTCATTCATTCCATAACATACTGCTTCATAATATCCATCATGAGAACTAAAATGATTCAACATGGGGCTTGGCATCCATTTCTCAGTGACCTAGTCATTTCTAACATAAGGGAATCCGTCCCGAAAGTTTCTGCTTCGAAGCGACGCCTTCCGTCTCCAAGTCCAGCCAATTTATGGATGGGATAAATACAATAGAAATTGGAATAAAGCAATTTTCGAGGTATTGTTTGTCGGTGGACCATTACGGGGGCGAAACAGCTCTTACATGTAATTTCATCTGTGCACGTTATAGGAAATGAAAGGGGAAATTTGGCCCAAGTGGCCCGCCGGATGCAAGTTCCATAGTCAGATTCTTGGTTGGTGAGAAAACAAGAAAAAAACTGGACGATCATGGGATTGGAGTATCTCACTCACGAAGCACCCACGTTAGGCCTATGTTGGAATTCCACATATGTGACGTGGGTCGCGTTGGGAACCCATGTTGGTCTCACGTGGGCCACCATTAAATGCTGAAGCGAGGCAGAACTTTCAGGCGCTTAGAGGTTTCGAGTGATCTTCTCTATTTGTTCATCATTGTTCAGCTCCCCAACCAGGGACCATGCGACCGAGTCCTTCTCGGTCGGACACTCAGTACTCCAGCAATTACAACTTCCCTAAAGTTATCTATGTGGAGGCCTTCACCTTCCGTATGGGCTTTGAACCACATAGTCATTTCATTCGACACTCAAACAATTCGTTTCCCGTTCTGTAAGCATTTCTCCGGCAACTTTCTTGGGTCATCCTCTTTCATAACAGTGGAAAGTAGAACCACTAAGTGGGGTCCATCCTCCGCAATCAATAAAACGCTTAGGCCATCATCCTCACCCCATCGATTCAAGACTCAATTTGAACCATGCTTACTCCACGACTGACAGGAGTCCCCTTGGACTGCTTAACCCTTTTAAACAAAGGAATTGGGGAATTCCAATGTCTCCTTACATTGTCTGCCGGTAACGATGCATGGAAAGTACTGGAGTCTTTTAACGCCCTTCTCACATCAGTTCTCTTAATATTGAACCGTTCCATTTCATTGTCTAACAGATGTGCGTCAAACCGAGGGAAACCGAATGTACTCGAACCTGACAGCGGAGACCGAGAACTGGCTCAACCGGCTACCACCAGTTCCACCGATGAACAGGACAGTCAAAGTCTTCATCTATGGCCTCGGAAGAAGCGGAACGTCCATCGTCTCCCGAATTTTGTCCTCCCACCCATCCGCCATATACTTTCACGAACCATTTCTCCCTAAAATCAAGTTATCTGGTGTTCAATTTGTATACCCGAAGTTAGACATCTACGAACAGCTTTACAACTGTAACTTTAGCGGGATCATCCCCGATCTTCCCATGTATCATTGGAAGAACTCGGTCCCGTTCTCGATTTGGCCTTACGTGGAATTCCTCTTCGGCATGAAACTCGCTCCCACGGTCACTCCTGTGGTGTTTTCGAGACTGGTGAGGAACGAAGCGTTCATGAAGAGACACTGTTCCAGGTATCCCATCAGAGTAATCAAGGAACCGGATCGAATGCCAGTACATTAGCTGGGTCCTCTCTTGAGACAATTTCCAGATTTGAAAGTCCTTCACGTTTGGAGAAATCCTGTACACGTATTGAAGTCGAGGTCAGACGAAGTCTGGTGTTGCGGTAAGTGCCTAAACCTCACCATTATCTGCAATACGACAGTGGAGCAGGTAGCGAACAGCACGAAGTTTTTCAGCTCCTTCCCCAATCGATACATGAACGTCCACTTCGAGGATATTCTCAGAAATCCTCGTGAAGTGATCGGGGCCTTGCTTGCTCGCCTAGACATCCCTTGGAATCAGTCTATTGATGATTTCGTGAAGAAAGTGCTACGAAGGTACATCCCACCGATGCCGACTGCGGCTCTCCCACCGATCTGCAAAACTGCTTTTGAACGTTTCGAATGGCATCGCCGGAATACCAGTGCAGTTTAAAACTTGCTCGTTTTTAGCATATTTTGCCGTTCCATTTCGCCGAGATGGATCGTTGACAGTGCAAGTGACTTCCCCTTGACTTTTTCACGAAAATACAGTGAATTTATAACAACGACAAGTCAAGAACGGGAAGATATGACATTCCAGAAAATTCAAGGCTGCGGTTAACGGTTTAGGACATTCTGTGTCTCAGCTGCAGGGCTGAGCACACGGAAGGCCTAACCCATGAGGCCACCTGAGTTCATCTCTGATTGGTGGCGTTTGCCCCAGGGATGAATTTTTGGTGTTCCAGTTTTCCCTATATTTCTTTCCTTCTCCTGTCGTAGTATTTCCATGTTGGTACTGGAGTGGAAAAGAGACAGTGCAATCGGTATGTGGTCTTGAAAGAATGTGAGTAAAGGTCATTTTTTATTACTTGTACCTTCTATGCATCCTAGCACTCGCAGGCTTCCATGCAGATTTTTCTTTGACAAGAAATGCCTATTTATGCCTTAATGTTGTCGAATTTCCAGCAAGTTGAGGGGAAAGTTTTGACGCTGAGTGAAGGCGATTTTTCATGGTTTTTTTCCTTGAGATGCCAATTCTATTACAGTCTCTTAACTTCTTTTGCATTTACGAGCAAGAACCATCTGACTCATTGAACGGACGCATAATCATAGATGATGATCGCTCGTCTTCCAATTCATGCACGAAAGGTATATCCCCGTTTCGCTGAAACGAATACATTCATCAGGAAACGTAATTTGCAAGTAATTTGCCTCCTTGCCATGTACCTCCAAAGGCGGAAAACATGAAAAACATATTTCACTTCAGCGTGAACTATGTAATTTAGGCATTTGTACAGCGATGATGAATTCCATTGGCTCTGTCTAATATATTTTATATTCCTCATTTTCGGAGAGGTAATGGTAATTAAAAAATTACAACTCTATTTTGTCTCACTTTTAATCCCGAGCATGTTTTCAGCTTGGTCGATATGTGTAAACTACCCATTTTGCAAGTTCTTGGTAATGCTTTGTGCGGTTTCAAATACAATTAGTATACGGGAGATAAAGGACCGATGGTTAGCTACTTAGCGAAACGTGTCAGATGGATCAGGGAAAGATGACATTCATGTAAGCCTTGGGATGGGTTATTGACCAGTCAAATAAAAACATGTTTATTGACTGGTCAATTGACCAGTCAATATGGTCAAATTTGGTCAAATTTGGTCAACTATGGTCAATTTTGGTAAATAGGACCATCTTTTTTTTTTTCTTCGTAGTTTTGGCACCATTATGCATGTCATTACTTACAAGTGATTGACTATTGATGGGAAGTTAACTGGTCAACATGGTCATTTTAGACTATTTGCAGAAAATAATAGTAATGAGCCCAACAAGAGGTTAGGCCTCATGACTATATGATCATAAATTACCATGTTGACCAGTCAACATCTCATTGCTAAGATAAATTTAATGTTCCAACTCATGGAATCTATCGTGTAAACAGTAATGAATCATGCTTCATAGCTAGATTAATTTTTTTAGGCATAGACATAGGCATTAGCCAAGTACTTGTCCCTTGATCCCCGACTTTGAGAATAATTTGATGCTCCGATGCATACAATGAGCCAAGACCATGATTGACCTTGAAACTAAAGTTCTAAAGCTGTTACTTAGATCTTGAACCTTTCCTTTGAAAGACCTTCAGGCTATAAAATTTTGTACAGCAACCTATGCCTGCACATACACTCTGCTTCACTCAGGTGAAAGGTCATGGTAGTTTGAGCATTTCCTAAAATGTTTTCATGTGCAACAGGTACCACAGTCTAGGTGTTTGACAGGCTGCATGAAAAAATCTTAAAAATTGAACTAGCTCTTTGGTTTTAGTGCTGGGGGATAAGTGACCACAGTTTATGAGTTCTATAAAAAAAAAATTAATTCACTGAATTAAAAAAATCTGCGTTCAATAATGGTCAATCAAAAGGTGGTCAATTGATCAATCAATTGACCCCCCCATCCCTATGTAAGCCATATGGCAAAATGAAATGCCTTGCTATTAAATGAATCCCGTTATGAGTGGTTGTAGGATGGTCTCAGCCGTGTCATACACCAAGCCTGATATTTCGAAACACCATGGATCGATGCCGAACTTGAATTTACCCTCCGCATGTATCGGTTATGCTCATTCTAAATGTATCAAGCAATGCGTGGAATTCACTTGCAAGTACCAGAATTGGACTTACGATCGGTTCCGCGACAGTTTCGTTTACGAGATTAATCGTCAGGGGGCGGACGGATGCATTTGGAGGTGGAAAGTGCAAGCATTCAAAGTCAGCAATCTAGTTCCGCAGTAGAAACCTGGTTATTTGGGGTTGGACGACTGTCAAAGGCGTCGACTGGATGTGACGCATCGATGGAGGCATGGACGTCCAAATGTACACGATCATACACAATTACAGTACGGTCGATTATTATGAGATAATATACAGGATGGCTTCATCTTCCAGCAAGACTATGACCCAAAGCACATGTCTGGAAAAGGTGCGCCAATAGTTCCAAGATTACTGGGTGTCGGTGTTGGAATGGCTGAACTCCTGAACCGTAACAAAACCCTATGGTCACTCTTGAACCGATAGCGTTGATCGTACGAAACTGACCGCAAAAACTTCCACTAAATTCGGCAACGAGTAGAAGCCGATTGGCACAACATTCCTAAGGGAGTTTGTGCTGATCTGATCTAAAGTATTCCTAATGGAATAAATGCAGTGTTGCAAAGCCAAGGGTGGCTACACTAAATACCTAATGAAGTCCATTTTATCCTATTAAAGTTGCCTTTTTTGCTAATGAGTGCATCACACGATATGAGTAAAAGCGAACACCTCCAGTCACCATGAGGCGGCCACTGAACAATATGGAATTAGTTAAATCCATATCAAACAGGAAAATCTTTTCACCCCGCCCCACCCCACTCGGAACGAAAGGCGACAAATTTATGCAACTGACTGGATTTTTTTCCTAACAAGAAAACGCTTCACGTGTCCCGTTTTTACATCACTTCCAGAACATAATACTCATCATGAGTATTGAAATAATCCAACCCCGAGCTTGGTAACCAATCCTCAATGACCCAAATGACCTCCTTCCTTAAGTTTCCTCATCTAAACGACGCCATTTTGCTCTGAATCCAGTTCATTTCGGGATGGGATCAGCGCAAATCCAAAGATTCCAGGCCCGTCGGTGGACCATTATGTAGAAGAAAGAAACAGCACTAACTCGTAACTTCATACGTGCGCATTATTTTACGGGAAACGGTAGATTTGATCCCAGTTTTACTGCACGCCTAGAAAGTAGGTGCTCATGGGAAAAGAGGATCTCATAAGAGGAGGAACAATTTCGGAAAGGAGAACGAATCTGTCCCAACTGAAGATTGATGACTCATACTGGAATGATGATTGTGGTAGTGGTATTCACTCAATTGCAGAACCTATTCTCACTTCGCACTGATGAAGAATACGCCCTCGACTCCAAGGAGATTGTGAGAAGGTCCACAGCCGATGCATCGAGTGATGCGCGTTCAGCCGGTTCGAGTGGGCGCGCTCATGGAGTCGTGGACTCGGTTGAATCAGCTTTAAGCTTTTGATGAAGGGCTCGATGCTTCGTTTCATCCTGTAAAGGTCGATGGACGCGTTAACAGAAATGAAAACACCCCAATGAATACAAATATTACATCCCAGCTGTGTCCCTACTGAAGTTAACGCGTCAAGACGAGAAAAATAGCAATATGGATATAATCGGCTCGGATAAAACTTTTTTATTTCCAGCAAAGATTCAGCTGGGGAGGAAGCGAGACAAGTCCAGATGAAGCTCAGTTATGTCCCAAGTGTTTTCCTGCTATGATTATCCAACAGTAATAAAAGCGATCAGTCCGTTTTGAAGTGCAGCTGTTATTCAACAGCTTGCATGCAAATGGAGTCTCTCTGTTGTGAGCCAAATGCATTCCAGCTGGGGAGAAGCAAGAGTTTCTTGGCGTGAGTTACATCACGGGGCGAATTCTATTCCTTATTTAGATTTTTTTTAAACTACAAATGGCTTCTCGCAGTGTCTTACGTTAGAAGCAATGCATCCTCTACGCTTGGTAATTTTCGAACCTTCTGGAGACAAAAAGTATATTTCAGGTTTATTTTGCGAGAAATTAAGTGGTGTATGTCGTGGTTGTGCTCGCTTAATTGTTCGTTATCTGACCCAGGCAGAGGTCTGGAAAATCGGCGAACTAAAGAGCCTGACTCGTGGGAAATCTGAAAATGGAATCTGAAAGCTAAAATGGACAGATGGAGGGAGAAGTTCTCCTCCTGGCCACTAGATGGAGGTATGGGCCTCGCTATTCTCACAAGTACGCAAAAGTGCACTACCCTCCTTCAATGGAATCATCCCTCACTGGAGTACTTAGTACCTCACGGTAGGTCTCTTCTAGTCTCATTTTAGCAATCAATGAAATTGGGCACTTAATCAATTCTCATCCCCATGTTCGAGACAGAATCATAGGGCCCAGGCGATAAACAAGCTCATCTTCCTCATGAGAGCCCCATGCATGCTCGAGTACGA